GGCTCCCGGGTCTTCCCCCTCCGGCCATCGCCAGGCGCCCCTCCCACTCTGCCCCACCCCCTCCAGACCTTCTTGCCCTGGGGACCCCGCTCGGCCTCCTCTCAGCAGGGATCTGCTTTAAGAGGCGCCCAAGGAACAAGACTTGGATCCTTAATCTCCCAAACACCTGTTGCCCCTGCTCGGGGGCTGCGCTAGGTCCCTGCCCCGCGCCCCTCCTGGCAGCCGCTAGGATGCGCTCACTCCCCAAAAATGCGGCGGCCCCGCCCCCTTAACCCTCAGCTGCTCGCAGCAGGAGGGACCCGAAGTCCTGCCAGGGACCCTCAGAGGTTATTATGGAACGGGAAAAGAAAGCGGGGTAGTGAATCGGGGCCTGGGGTATGGAAGTCGCGGGTGCCCGAAGGAGAGAGGAGGAGAGGGGGCAGGCCGGAGGAATTAGCGTCTAAGGAGTTAAGCATCCTCCCTCTCCGCCCTGGCCGATCACGCTGCCCTTCGAGCGACCCGGTACAAACCAGACTTAGTCCCGGAGGACTGGGAGAGGTCCTAAACGAAATCCGGAGGGCGGGGAGCCGGGGGGCGTGGAACCACTCCTGGCTTCAGAGCTCGGTACCCCTGTCCGTCTTCCACCAGAGTCTACCCCGCCCAGCACCTCTCACACCCCGTCCGGTGCAGGCACCGACCCAGCACCCCCAAACTCCAGCCTCTCCATGCCGCTCGGGGACGCCCCCCCCTCCAGACTCACAGCGAGCGGCCACCTCCTCCAACGCAGCGCTGAGATTTCGGCCTTGGCCCCACCCCCAGAGGAGAGAGTTGATGGGGATGGGAACCTGAGTCTTCAAGCTGGGGAGACTAGGAGCTTGGGCTCTTGAGGTGTTCCCCGGGTAGGCGAGCTCACATTCGGCGATGGGGCGGGGGCGCGATGGTCTGGCGGCTCCGGGGCATTGTCTAAGCGGGACGGGGCGGGACCCCAGAGACCACGCCCATTCCGCCCAGCTAGGCCGCGCCCATTCCTCCCAGACTGTGCGCCCCTTCCACTCCCCCCCTCCGAACTCCGGCACCGCCCCAAGAACGCTGCCCAGGCCCACTCAGATCCGGCTGTCCCCGGCTGTCCCCGACTGCGGGGCTGCAAACAAGAGCTGGACCACACAACAGCCCTCTAATGGACGGATGCAGAACATGGCAGCCCCTGCAGAAACACTCCCTCCCAATTCTTGGCAGATGCTCTGAGCTTAATTAACAACACAGACCCTTCCCCTTATTTCGTGCCCACTGCACGGTAAGCCCTGTTTGTGTAAAAAACAAAACACAAAACAGTAGATTTTCAATTCTGTATTTTATTACCGAAATACGCTGTCCTACCCACCCCACCCCGCAATAGAAATCTTACCCTTGTCGCCTATCCTTTCCCTCCATTCCTCCCCCAGCCCCACACATGTACCCCGGATTTCCTGACCACTGGCTGTTCTGGAGTGTGTCCATTCGGTAGCCTCCCAGAGCCTCTATGGCGAGCACAGAGTGGGTGAAGGAGCCTCTAAGAGGTGCTCATTTCAGGGCCTTGGCCACTTGCTCATAGGCCAGCTCTATCTCCTCGTCGTCCGGACAGGTGGAGGCGAACTCTTCCCGAGCATAAGCATTGCTCAAGTACCGATGCACTCCACGGAACGCCTCTGGGATGGTGAAGCCTCTGTACTTTTTACACACCACCTGGAGGTTGGAGAGAGGGTGGCATGTTAGCCTCGGGGAAGTCGAGCTTGCTTTGCCTGGAGCTGTCGGACTCTCTCATCCTCCAGGGTCGTCAAGACGATCTCGCTTCCTAACAGATTTTTTTGTTTGTTTTTGGTTTTTCTGAGACAGGGTTTCTCTGTATTGCTTTGGAGGTTGTCCTGGAACTCACTCTGTAGACCAGGCTGGACTCGAACTCAGAGATCCACCTGCCTCTGCCTCCCGAGTGCTGGGATTAAAGGCGTGCGCCACCACCGCTCAGCTTCTGTTGATTCATATCTAAGCTTCTATTTGAATGGCTTGCTCAACTTTTCATTTTTCTGGAACCCCATTATTAATAGCCAGCCTCTTCCCAGACCAAACATCTGTGGTTCAACTTTTCTCCTCTTGACTAAAAAGAGAAACCATGGGCTGGAGAGATGGCTCAGAGGTTAAGAGCACTGGCTCCTTCCTCTTCCAGAGGTCCTGAGTTCAATTCCCAGCAACCACATGGTGGCTCACAACCATCTGTAATGAGATCTGGTGCCCTCTTCTGGCCTGCACTGTATATATGATAAATAAATCTTAGAAAGTATTTTTAAAAAATGAATAAACAGGGTGGGGGGGGGATGCTAGGGATGTGTTTACCCTGGATCCCCTGACACACAGAGGAAAAAGACAATTAGCAAAATGTAACACTAATTTTGCAATATAGATCAACCCAACTGAGAGCCTCAAGGTGTGTTCTCTCTCTCTTCTTTCTTTCTTTCTTTTTTTTTGGGGGGGGTTTTGGAGGCAGGGTTTCTCTGTGGCTTTGGAGGCTGCCCTGGAACTCGATCTGTAGACCAGGCTGGTCTCAGATCCCCCTGCCTCTGCCTCCCGAGTACTGGGATTAAAGGTATGCACCACC